CCCACGGGCTCAGGCAATCCACTCACCTCACCCTCCCAAAGGCATGGGATTATAGGCTGAGCCACTGAGCCCGGCTTCCCAGGCTGGTCTTGAACCTGCGGGCTCAGGCAATCCTCTCGTCTTGGTCTCCCAAAGTGCTGGGATTACAGGCTTGAGCCACTGTGCCCAGCCCGTTATTATTTTTTGTAGAGATGAGGGCTCACTATTTTGCCCAGGCTGGTCTTGGACTCTAGGGCTGAAGTGATCCTCCTGTCTTGGCTTCCCAAAATGCTAGGATGACAGGTGTGAGCCTCCACACCTGCCCTCACATAATCTTTCTTTTTTTTTTTTTTTTTGAGTTGGAGTCTCACTTTGTCACCCAGACTGGAGTGCAGTAGCTGCTCCCGGTCACTGTAGCCTCGACCTGCTGGGCTCTGGTGATCCTTCCACCTCAGCCTTCCAAGTAGCTGGAACTACAGGCGTGTGCTACCACACCCGGCTAATTTTTGACTTATTGTAGAGATGAGGTCTTGCCAAGTTGCCCAGGCGGGTCTTGAACACATAATCTTTCAAAAAAAAAAATTTCTGGTTAATCGTCACAAGAACATGAGGCTCATTTGTGATGGTTAGTGATGACGGCAGCTACTATGGAATGCACATGTGATTGGACTTGGTCTCCTTCCGTCCCTAGACCCTTGTGAGATATACAATATCCTGTCCTCCCTATGGGAAGACCTAGTTAAGTAGCCTAAGATCATATCAGCAGAGGCAGGGCCACAATTTTTAAATGTTTGAGTCGGAGTCTCACTCTGTCGCCCAGGCTGGAGTGCAGTGGCACGCTCACGGCTACCGCAGCCTTGACCTGCTGGGTTCAGGCGATCCTTCTGCCTCAGCCTTCCAAGTAGCTGGAACCACAGGCACGCACCACCAAGCCCGGCTTATTGTTTTTCGATTGATTGTAGAGACAAGGTCTTGCCAAGTTGCCCTGGGCTCAGGCAATCCTCTTGCCTCCACCTCCCAAAGTGCTGGGATGACAGGTGTGAGCCACCACGCCCAGCTAGGGCCACAGTTTGAGGCCAGTGCCCACCTCCTCCTCACATGCGGTCAGGTGAGGCTCCATGGAACCCCACGAGGGGCAAGGGTCGCTCGTCCTCTGAGCAGCCACGTGGAGAGCTTCCCAAGAGATTTCTCAAACCAGAGGACTAACAGGGAAGGGTCAACTCAATGCATCTGAAGAATGCTTGCTTGGAAGGGCGAGGGCAGTGACTGGTATTCCGAATCACAGCATGGGAGAAGCATGAATCATTAGCGGTTGAGGGTGATATCAAGATCCAAGGAATTTCTCTGTACTCAGGCCTCTTCTGCACGGTTGTCCCCATTGTTCACTGACCAGGGCAAGTGGAAGTAGAACACTAGGCCCATGCTCTATCCTGGGCCATCTGCCTTGCTCGGAATAAGGGACATCTTCTGATTACACACACAGGATTGCTGTCGGGCTTGCGGCAGCTGTGCGTACGAGGGAGGTTTTTAGAGATGCAGAGAAATACCTGAGATATTGCAGGCGACATCCTGGGTGTCTCAAGACCTCACACAAGGAGGGAAGCACGTTATCCCGGTCATTGCCATGAAGGGTCAGATGTGTGAGAGTCTCGTGGCCACTGAACGTTTGGCAGAAGTCCCGATAAGCGTCAGCTGGGGAAATGTTTTTGAGGCTAGGGAAAAGAAAACAAAGGTGACATCGTGAGTGCCTCTACCTAGACTGTGCATAATGGGAAGTGAGGGCTCAGTGTAGTTAAACTTTAGAAACTATTCTTCCATGTTTGGCTTTTTCCTTTTTTTTTTTTTTTTCCCTTTAGATGGGGTCTCACTATGAGATGGGGTCTTCATTATGTTGCCCAGGTTGGTCTTGAACTCCTGGGCTCTAATGATGCTCCCACCTCAGCCTCCCAAAGTGCTGGGATGACAGGTGTGAGCCACTGCACTTGACCTGTTTTTTCCATCTTTACTGAGACTTTATTTATTTATTATTTTTTGAGTTGGAGTCTCACTCTGTCGCCCAGGCTGGAGTGCAGTGGCTTGTTCATGGCCACCACAGCCTCGAACCTGCTGGGTTCAACCTTCAAAGTAGTTGGAATTACAGGCACGCACCACCATGCCCGGCTAATTTTTTGATTTATTGTAGAGATGAGGTCTTGCCAAGTTGCCCAGGCTGGTCTACGAACCTGTGGGCTCAGGTAATCCTCTTGCCTCCACTTCCCAAAGTGCTGGGATTACAGATGTGAGCCACTGCACCCAGCTTCCCTGGGGATTTTAATCCCAGGATTGGTCTCTACTTACATCACTTTCTGGAGATTGCAGGTGGCAGAAGTTATTTGGTCACAAAGAATCCTCACGGATGAAGTGGTAAGGAAGCTCTCACTGATGTCAAGAAACGCCAGATCCTTATTAGAGTTAAATATGGAACAAAGGTCCGTCCAGAGAGAAAGCACATGTTGGTCATCCTGGGATCTACAAGGAGAGAAGGGGATTATTTATCCACCATGGCAAAGGAATTTAGGGCTTTTCTCAGAATACACCTCTAATAAATAAATAGAACTAAAAGCTGGGTGATTTAGTCATTTCATATAACTGTGAAACAGCTTCCTACCTAATAAGTTTCAAAGAAAAACATTCTTTGAAAAGTCTGAGCCGGGCGCGGTGGCTCAGCCTGTAATCCCGTGCCTTGGGCGGCTGAGGTGAGTGAATTGCCTGAGCCCGCGGGGTCGAGACCCGCCTGGGCAACTTGGGGA